CTAAATCCTACCCTTGTAGTGAACTGTTCTTGATGTCCAGGTGTGCATTAATTATACATTACATATCTTTAAAACAGGTAAAATGTAGAAATATTTGGCAGTTTTACTTTTTTCAAATTATATTTGTACTTAAAGCTGATCTTGGTAAAATGAACACATTAATTGGAAGACTTAAGAAGGTCAATTAAACTTAAAATAATCCGACAATTCTGTTTATTTGTCTATCATTTTATTAACCAATCAAATTATTATTTTTTCTTAAATGCTGATTTGATGAAGTATGTCCTTTACACTAATTTAAAGTCTGAATAGAAATATAGTAAAATACAAATTTAAAATTAAATCTAAAATGTGATTTCACAACCATCAAAGCCAGTGAAAAATGTACAAAAAGGGTTAAAAGAGTACATATAGAACTTTCTGTTTAGAAGTATATTTGATGACAATTTAATGTAAGAAAAATTGCTGAACACAAATTTTCGTGACAAATTGTGATACTTTTACATTGCATTTGTCAAGGTACCATTGCAGAACTCAAATATTGTGATAAAATTGTGATACATCTACATGTATCATTGTCCATATACTAGAACCGAATATATAGTGATGAAATTATGATACATGTAAGTCAAAACAATCGTGATGCTTGTACCATGTACATAACCAATAATATTGTTATAAAATCAAGGTACAAATATCTTAAGTATATTTTACCTTTTGTTATAAGCTGAGATATAAGTATCACGAAGCTACAGTTCGTGATTAACAGGCAACAAAAAAATCAGTAAGCAATATTTTGTAAAAGATTTGTTACACAAGTACTAATCAACAGTATTTGTGATAACATTGTGATAAATGTAACATTCAACATTAAATTGTGATCAAAGCACCACTGTAATTGTCTTAAAACTTACTTAACATAACAATTATTTGTGAGAATCCTTTTTTTGCCCTTAACAGTTTTTGAGACATTGTCCTGGGCCAGTTACAAGTTCAATATTTTTGTTTGCAAAATGCAAACCAAATCATAATGGCATCATGACTCACAACATGTTTACTAAACAAAACACATAAACAGAGAGAAATTTGCCTACAAAGGCTTCACAGTACAAACTGTAGGATTCATTGTATTTCTAAACCATATGAGCTTAATTCTAGCTCTTAATCACAATTCATAGTTCTCTGCTGGCTGGCCATTACATAGGAACATCTCATGTCAAATTCTTAACTTGTGGTATCTGGGAGCTCTACTGACAGTAAGTGTTGAACAAATGGTTGAAAAAAGCCCTCCTGAATTAATCATTATTTTTGGTAGCTATATTGAGTATTATATAAATAACATGAAGGTGGTGATATCACAATGAAGTAGCACCAATATATAATATAATGATATGAATTATGCATAGTTAGTGGATAGTAAGTTTCTCTACACTAAATGACCCCGTAATCTAGGTTCTGTACTCTGATTTCGTGATCCTGATGAAGTATCTGGATGGGGGCCACTATAATGAGGATTTGAGACAATATTTGGTGATAATGCATCAACTGTTCCTGAAAAATAAAAGAACAGATTCCTTATTAAGAGACCCTTATTTTTTTATCAAACATCACTAGTATCATCAACAGAATCAAGATCAGTCCTAATTTTAACTTAGATTTGTCTAAGAAGGGCCTACTCGAACTATGTAATTCTTGATTAACTAGGCTGTTGATGTGGAAGCACTTGTAAGTCACATAAGTCAACTTGATGTTTATAATCATTTGCTTTCTATTCAGGGCATAAAGTATTTTGAGAATTGCAAATATTTACCAAAAAAATTGCTAATGTAAGCTTATCTTATTAAAATACTCATATTTGTAGCTGGAAATTTTTCAATCAACAGTTTTGAGAAAATACTGGTCCATTTTAGTTGACTGGAAACAAGACATGACAAAAGAAAGACTTACCTGGTGGAGGTGCATAGCGTGGAGGTAGATCCTGAGGACCGTAATTTCTGGCAGGAAGTGGTGGTAAGTTGTCCCCTAGTCTGGTACTTGAGGTACGTACTGGGGGAGGGGGAGGTGTTCTCTCACATCTACTACTAGGACGGCTTGATGGTCTATCAAACATTTCTGTTACGCTCTAAAATTTTACAAAAAAACTGGCTTAGTTTTGATATATTTCAAAGACTATACTGCAGTATGTTAAAAATGCATTGGGATAAATAATGAAAGATGGATCTAAAATCAGAGAGAAAAATTTGATCTGTAGCAGCTTTAGGAACACAGGAACCAAATTTCACAACTACTGATGAGATTTATGATCGCTTTTATAAAAAACTGTGATGCACTCGCTGTTCCACAAAAATTTCTGTCGTAGGGCTGATTCTATTTCAAGGTACACAATTGCTCCGATGATAATCCACCTCCCTACCAATATTCTATTATTAATACTAAACTTACTTTAGGTCTATTATCTACACCAGCTGATGGTCTATAATAAACATCTTGCATTGAGCCTTTCCTAGGTAATGCTACCTGATATGGATCTGAAAAATTGAAACAAAATTCAAATATTTAAAAAAATGCCAAATGGAATAAAATCGTACTAGAAATTAGCATTCAATAATGTTTCTTTTTTTTCCTTACTCAATTCATATCAGGAATGTTCTGAAAAGTGATACAGATCAACTGATAAAGCAACTATACCTTCATTCCATTGTTGATGATCATCATCATCTAAATCTGTATAAGGTCTGTTATAATCTGGTGGTCTAGATATATACATAGCATCTCTATTATCTAGATATTCTTGTCCCAGCTGTAAATATAACATCATAATATATTAATATTCAGAACAGTGATTTCAATTTCCCTAACTAGTGTTCCTAATACAAGCATGGTTTGTACCACATAAGACCCAATATTAAAGGGTTTTTTGTTGTTGATAGAAACCAATACAATTTGCATGATGATCGAAGTCATCCATTGCAAGAAGCAAAACCAATATCATCTATTGAACAAGTGTCAAGCTAACTCTACTCAACCGGAAAGTCAAGTATAAATTACAAAACAAAACAACAGAATCTTACATCATAATTGGGTGGATAATCATCATAAAAATCTTCGATATTTTTATCACAAGTACCACAACTTCTTACATCATCTGAGGCTGATGGTGGATACATAGTGTGATCTACTTTATTCATACCATATAGTTCTAATGTATTAGTATGACTTGTAGTATCACTTACATCTGAAACAATTCAAATCAACATACAATTTTGCGGGAATTTCTAAATGATAATTCCGAAATCTGATTGGTTCAATAAAATGACCTATCAGATCTAGTAAATAGACATTAATAGGAGAAACTTGAGTGAACTGGTTTAAACACATTTTTTCTTAAGTTGTAAAGGTCATTAGCCATGACAAGTACAACTGACAAAGGTGGCCTTTGGGCAACTGATGATGCATCTCATCAAATCTGTAGTAGTCGATATGAATTCAACTCTTTTATCAGCAAACTGATGTTTTGCAAAATGGTTGATCATATCTTCTTAAAACCAAATTTTCATATAAATAACTGTCATAAATTTTGCAAAACAGTCAGAAAGAAAGGACAACCAGGTTGTTGTGGGGTGAAAATTATAAATTTGAAAGACAGACATATCCGTTGAATACCATATTAGATGACCCAATGTAGGGCAGATTCAGATTTTAATGGTTATTAAAAGACAACAAACCTTCTAATCTCTTCTTTCTTCTCCTGACAAAAAATAATATCAAGCCCACATTTAATGTTAATAAAAATACAGCAACTATACAAACAACTAATATAATAATAATAGGCACTTCTTCTCCATTCTGTAGAGTTGATGTAGATATATCTTCTGGTGGAGCTGAACCTATAATCAAAAAGGTTGCTTATCAAATAAAAAAGGAACTAAGATTTTTTTTTAAAGAATTACAGCTAATTTCTAGAGGATCCAGTCTTCCAGTTGGCCATTGCCAAACCCCACTAGCATATGTCTTCTTCTTGGATTGTGACTTCCAAAAGATTGTTGGATCTTAGACTTTTCAATTGATTTGATTAAAATGAAATGACATGAATGGAGTTTTACATCCTACACCTCTGCACCTTATTGGGCAAGTGAAGACGAGCAATACCCTGCACTGTGCAGGTAAATTTTGCCCGGACAGCAGCATTAGCCTTCTCTTTTTCGATTTTTATCTGTCAAAGGATCTTATTATATAGATCATGAAGTCAGAAGCTCATCAAAATTATTTCCTGTAAAAATAATTAAGAATTCTGAAACCAGGCAATTAAATATGATTCCCCAATGAGATTAAGAAATAAAACTTACTAGATGTTTTAGCTGTAATGCTGCTAAGTTGATATGTTTCACCTAAACTATTAAAAGCTAATACTGTTAACTGGTACTGTTTACCTAACTCTAAACCTAAACAAAATAAACAAATATGATAATGATATATAGATAATATCAATAGTTGACAGGAAATGAACTAGGATATTGTCCAGTAAGAAGTATTTACAAAAAAAGTTATTAACCTACCGGTGAGACTTATGTGACAGTATTCACCTGCGAGACAGGTATTTATTAGTAATTACTGTGAGACAAGAACTTATCAGTTGTAATGACTAAGAGAAAAGCATTTACGGGTAATTATCTGTTAGACCTGTAATTACCTGTGGGACAAGCACTTACCAGTAATTATGACTGATATCAGTAATTACTTGTGAGACAAGCACTTACCAGTAATTACGATTGAAACAAGCATTCATGAGTAATTACCATTGAAACCGGCAATTACCTGTGAGCCAAGAACTTACAAGTAAACTTGTGTGACAGTATAATACATTTACTTATCAGTAAAAGTATCAGACATGAACTTACTAGTTCATAAGACATGTACATACCAATAAAAGTATAAGACATGAACTTACCAGTAAAAGTATAAGACATGAACTTACCTGCAATTACCTGTGAGCCAAGAACTTACAAGTAAACTTGTGTGACAGTATAAGACAAGTACTTATCAGTAAAAGTATCAGACATGAACTTACTAGTAAAAATATAAGACTTGAACTTACCAGTAAAAGTATAAGACATGAATTTATCAGTAAAAGTATAAGACATGAACTTACCAGTAAAAGTATAAGACATGAACTTACCAGTAAAAGTATAAGACATGAATTTATCAGTAAAAGAATAAGACATGAACTTACCAGTAAAAGTATAAGACATGAACTTACTAGTAAAAGTATAAGACATGAACTTACCAGTAAAAGTATAAGACATGAATTTAGACATGAACTTACCAGTAAAAGTATAAGACATGCATTTATCAGTAAAAGTATAAGACATGAATTTATCAGTAAAAGTATAAGACATGAACTTACCAGTAAAAGTATAAGACATGGACTTATCAGTAAAAGTATAAGACATGCATTTATCAGTAAAAGTATAAGACATGAATTTATCAGTAAAAGTATAAGACATGAATTTATCAGTAAAAGTATAAGACATGCATTTATCAGTAAAAGTATAAGATATGAATTTATCAGGAAAAGTATAAGACATGAATTTATCAGTAAAAGTATAAGACATGCATTTATCAGTAAAAGTATAAGACATGAATTTATCAGTAAAAGTATAAGACATGAACTTACCAGTAAAAGTATAAGACATGGACTTATCAGTAAAAGTATAAGACATGCATTTATCAGTAAAAGTATAAGACATGAATTTATCAGTAAAAGTATAAGACATGAATTTATCAGTAAAAGTATAAGACATGAACTTACCAGTAAGAGTAAAGGTGGTAGATGAAGGTGGTTGTACATCAACATAAATAAAGCCTCTACTATCTATTTCTCTATATCTAACACGAAATGATGTAGGTAAACCACCATCAAAACCAGCTTTCCATGTTAAAGTTATAGAATTATGTGTAGCATTAACAAATTCTATATCATAGGGTGGATCTGGTTTACCTGTAACAAAAGAAACACATTGGGATTAGAAAGAGGAACTTGTTAGAGGACTGCAATAAAAGGAGTACAGTCCTTTTACATAAAGATATTTATTTTTTTCAAGTAACATACTGTAATGCTTACTTTCGATTTCAACGATCAGCATAAAAATGGTATCAAATGAATAATGTTCATCAGTAGAGAGATTCAAAGTAGTAATTCAAAACAGTTTAGTGTGTATTCAGATTTACTGTCTGATTTTTAAGGTTTTATGTTATTCCTGATAACCTTGACCAGATTATGTCACTATTTGTAAGTCTGTTGGTATGCAATCTTTGTAATTTGTCTAAGAGATGATAGTTATCACAAAGCTCTAAATAACTTGAGAAAAAACAGACATAAAAATCCTAATAAGCTTATTTCTGGGGATTAAGACTCCTTAAAATAGTAGGAATAAAGTCTACTTACTTGTTCCATCTAGACTGATATCAAAAGTATCTTGACCTTTCTCATTAATAGCTGTACATTGATAGTTACCATAATCTCTCTTTCGTACATCTTTTACTTGTAGTATGTTTTTATAATGTACTGATTTAGTCTTGGTGGTTGAGATAGAATATTTACTCATTGATGTATCAATAGCCTGTCCATTCTGTTAATAAATAATATATTGTTTTGGTTTGTTCATTGGTTGGTTGGTTAATTAATTAATTGTTTCTTTATTTTCTATTTTTTTACTTCTCAATTCATTGTTTGTCCACTCTAAATACAATAATTGTTTGTCCACTCTAAATACAATAATTGTTTGTTCACTCTAAATACAATGTATTGTTATTCTTTGTCCATTCTATGTACTACATATTGTCATTGTTTGTCCATTCTAAGTACATGTTATTGTTTATCCATTCCAACTACAATATTGTCATTGTTTGTCCATTCTAAATTCAAGATATATAATATCATTGTTTGTTGACTCTAAATAAAATATATTGCCATTGTTTGTCAATTCTCAATTCAACAAAATTTTCCATTTAAAATACAATATATTGTCATTGTTTGTCCATTTCAAGGTTAATAAATTTTATTCAATTATTACATGTTGTTTTCCATTTAAAATACAATATATTGTCATTGTTTGTCAATTCTCAATTCAATATAATTGTTCTTTCTAAATAAAATATATTGTCATTGTTTGTTCATTCTAAGTACAATATATTGTCATTGTTTGTTCATTCTAAGTACAATATATTGTCATTGTTTGTTCATTCTAAGTACAATATATTGTCATTGTTTGTTAATTCTCAATTCAATATAATTGTCCTTTCTAAATAAAATATATTGTCAATGTTTGTTCATTCTAAGTACAATATATTGTCATTGTTTGTTCATTCTACGACAATATATTGTCATTGTTTGTTCATTCTAAGTACAATATATTGTCATTGTTTGTCAATTCTCAATTCAATATAATTGTCCTTTCTAAAAAAAATATATTGTCATTGTTTGTTCATTCTAAGTACAATATCTTGTCATTGTTTGTTCATAGACAATATCTTGTCATTGTTTGTTCATTCTAAGTACAATATATTGTCATTGTTTGTCAATTCTCAATTCAATATAATTGTCCTTTCTAAATAAAATATATTGTCATTGTTTGTTCATTCTAAGTACAATATATTGTCATTGTTTGTTCATTCTAAGTACAATATATTGTCATTGTTTGTTCATTCTAAGTACAATATATTGTCATTGTTTGTTCATTCTAAGTCCAATATATTGTCATTGTTTGTTCATTCTAAGTACAACATATTGCCATTGTTTGTTCATTCTAAGTACAACATATTGCCATTGTTTGTTCATTCTAAGTACAATATATTGTCATTGTTTGTTCATTCTAAGTACAATATATTGTCATTGTTTGTTCATTCTAAGTCCAATATATTGTCATTGTTTGTTCATTCTATGTACAATATATTGTCATTGTTTGTTCATTCTAAGTACAATATATTGTCATTGTTTGTTCATTCTAAGTCCAATATATTGTCATTGTTTGTTCATTCTATGTACAATATATTGTCATTGTTTGTTCATTCTAAGTACAATATATTGTCATTGTTTGTTCATTTTAAGTCCAATATATTGTCATTGTTTGTCCATTTTAAGGATAATAAATTTCATTCAATTATTACATGTCGTTTTCCATTTAAAATACAATATATTGTCATTGTTCGTCAATTCTCAATTCAATATAATTGTCCTTTCTAAATACAATATATTGTCATTGTTTGTTCATTCTAAGTACAATGTATTGTCATTGTTTGTTCATTCTAAGTACAATGTATTGTCATTGTTTGTTCATTCTAAGTCCAATATATTGTCATTGTTTGTTCATTCTAAGTCCAATATATTGTCATTGTTTGTTCATTCTAAGTCCAATATATTGTCATTGTTTGTTCATTCTTAGTCCAATATATTGTCATTGTTTGTCCATTTTAAGGATAATAAATTTTATTCAATTATTACATGTTGTTTTATTGACTGCCTGTTGTAGTACTGTACATATATTATCATCTTAAATCAAAAATAACTTAGCAAAGAAATCTTTTGTCATATGTGCTCTTCACTTCAAATCTTAGAAAAACTAAGCAATAATCAGTTTCTCTTACCTTTTTCCATTGGAATGTAACCTTTGGAGCACCTTCCGCTTTACAAATAAGTTGTCCAGTTAACCCTTTATTACTAGCTGCTTTAGAGAATTCTGGTGATTTATTGATGACTGGAGCATCTGAAACCAAAAAATAGCTTATAATAACCAAAACCATGTTCTATAATGACTTCATTTCAAGAACAATTTTTTTTTGTAAGTACCATGTAGAAGCATATTTACAAATGGTATAAGCTCATTGATTCTTGCTTTTCAAAAAGTTGTACAACTTTTTTATTTCGTCTGTATACATAAAAATCAATAAAAAATAAGTTCCCTCTAATAAGAACAAATCATAAAATTATGTGAAATCATTTTCTTATAAGTTGTTAAATCTTTCATCTTGCAATGTAAGAAAATATACTTTTTCTGTGCACCGATCTGTTACATAATCACACCCACCAGAAATCTAAGGATGCAGATGCATGAAATTTGTAAGAGTGAAACTATTCTACTTACATTTAACAGTGAGAGTGGCTGTTTTGGAAGCAGAAGACCCAATTCTGTTGTCTGCAGTACATTTAAATACACCACTATCAGATTTATTCAAATCATATACTGTTAGGTAACCTTTACCATTCTCATAGGTAACCTTTGTTTTAGACATGTCATAGTTCTGTCGGGACCATCTGACCATATTTGATATGATAGGGTTGGCGTCTGCTACACATTCAAAGAAAGCTGTACCACCTTCATCTTCCATGACTGTACCAGTTATTCTAGTGATTTTAGCTTTATCTGAAAAAATTCAAACATGAAAACTTTACTAATATCATAATGCCTAAACAATGACAACAACTTTGGTTCACAACTAGGGATCCTTTCTACCGACTGATCTTTGGCCAAACCTCTTGGAATTGATCTTTCCTGGATTATCGATACCAATATTCAGCTGGGTTGACTGGAGTTTTGAGTGAAGATGACTTATTCAAGGTCTAAGACTTTAAAACGCTGACCGAGATTAGAACCCACAACTGCCATTTGTTAACCGAGCAAATGGTATCTTGTAAAGAATCAACGCTCTTATTGACTATGCTATAGAAACTCTCTACCATATTCTACTAGTTTTTTTAATGGTCAGTGAACTAGAAGCTGAATTTTCCTTCTGAAAAGTGATACATGTGGATGGAAAAGGAAAATTTTTTAACCTACACTTAACATTGATGGTGAAATTGAAAGTAGTAGATCCTTCACTATTCTTAGCTTCCATTGTGTAGTTTCCTTTATCAACTTTCTTTACTTTCGTGATATTGAGGACACCCTGAGCTAGATTAAATCGTGATAGATCACCAGGTAAAGTAAGTTTAACACCATCACGATATAATGAGTATTCCACTGTATAGGGATTAGCACTGACTGTAAAGTTGAGACTTTTACTCTGATCATTAACAATATCAACTTGTTCTGGTATTCCTGTATTAAATACTGGTTTAACTGAAATAATAAAATATATCATAGTTTCTTTAGCTGGTTATCAGTTCACAAAAACATTTCCTTAATTAAAGATCTTAAAGAGGACCAAGAAGAGGGGAGTGTGAAATTATATAATCAATTCTTAGTTATAAAGACTGTCTGAATAGGATGCAGAGTTTACCAACATGCCTTCCTCTGGTTACTCTCCTAATACTTGAACTCATATATTTTACTTTAGAGTTTTCGGATAAAAGGCTGATGATCTCAAGGATGCTTTTCATCAGCTCCAACAAGCAGTACCAAATAAACATCATGTGCAATGTAAAATCTTTGATGAGAGATTACAAAATCAGTCACAAAGTTGAGTAAGGAGATCTATGAGAATTCTATTTTCAACAAGACCAAAGTACTGATATGGGACAAGATCAAGTTTTAATATTGTAAATATGACATGCTTCTAAAATTCCAGAAACTACTAAACTACTGTAGAACCAGACAAAAGTTTTCTCATTACACCCTTCTTCATATGTTTTGCAAGCTGCTTAACAGTACACATAAAAATTATATTATAATTTCCAAGATCAGAGCATACTTACACAATACATCCAATGTAATACCATCATTAACTGACTGACTAATAAGAGTATTGGTAGCACGACAACCATATACAGCCTGGTGATCTAACCATGTTGGTACTAAATCTAATACATTAACAGCAGACTTGCCACCAAACACATCATTTACTAGTCCTAAACTTCTACCAGCTATACGGCGGCCATCTTTAATCCAAACAATATCAGCATGAGGGTTGCTGGAAGCTGTTGTACAGGTTAGGTTCATGGTATTACCTGCCTTGATCACATCAGGTTTAGATACAATAGTCACTTGAGATGGAGGGACTGAAAACAAGAGAAGACTTTTCTAAAGGAACAGGTGTTGCAATTCTCCGGGTAAGAGGTGGCTCTAGAATATATGTAAATAGTCTAAAGAAGATAGGAGTTGTCATTTTAAGTTTCCAATGTGGATAATTCTGGACACATTTATTTAAAGGCTCAAATTTTGACAATGAGCTGTGAACACTATTACTGAATGGCTTAACTAAAGAATTCCTGTTTCTGAGACGAAATAATGTTTGTGATACTGTATGCTATGCTTATTGGGCTGTTTTGTCTTCCAAACAATTTGTCTATATTATAAAAGTAAAGATGCTTGTCATATTTCTATAAAATATTTTGTGAAAGTAATATTCAAAGACCTTATTATTTCAATATAATCAAAATTATATTATAATTTAGTTATTTTTTTCAACTGTAATCTAACAAGTTTTCTACCACAGTCCTGTTCTAATGATGTTATTTTTAGCCAATGAATCTGTACCATGTTAAACTCATTTCTTGATAATATAGATGAATTGTGGTATATAGCAAAACCCAAAGTAGAGCTTTTCACTTGAATCTTGAAAACTTTTGGCTCATTTTAGATCTACCTAAGCTTTGCCATGGGAAATGTCTAACTATTTTTATTAATATGAAACTAGGATACCATTTAAAATGAAAGTAAAACTGAAAATAGAAAAAACAGAGAAACTTACAATAAACAGTGAGTACCAGAGATTTTTCTAGAGGTGAACTAGTAGCTTCATTAGTAGCTGTACATTTATATCTAGCACCATTATCATTCTTCTTAGTTATTATAGAGAGTTGAGAGGACACAATATTACCAGTTACTTTATTCTCAGCTTCTAACTTAGTTGTTCCTAAAAACATAAACCATATCATAAAAATAAGACAAGAATTCCAAAATGACCACTTCAGGATGACATCCTATGTTCATGTCCCACCATGTTAATTACAAAATGCATGAGGAGAAGTCGCTAATCTTTTGGTCAAAGAGGAACTCTGATAAATGAATATGTCACCTTTCCTTATTTTTCCAGTTAACTCAGCTGTAATTGGGTACATATAATCTGGGAAAGTTCTTGGGAACCTAAGTTGTAAAGTAGGGTAGTTTCACATATCCTATGATGCTTACTTATCTAATTGCTTTCATAAGCTTACATTGAAGAAAATATCATAATTTCAATAAATCAACTGACCTTTGTACCAAGATAATGTAGCTACAGGATTACCACCAGCTGAAACACATCTCATTCTCTGGACCTGACCAGCTATAACTGGTGTACCAGGACTATACCCTGTTATTATAGGTGGATCAGGTGGATCTAAAAATAGAATTTACAAATCAGTAAAATATCCAACCAAATGCTGAATTAAAAATAAAGCTTTATCTAACTAGCATATCTGCAAAATTTAACTTAAAGAGGATTTCCACAGACCATTGAGATATTAAGCCACAGGAGAGCATATAATTGGTTTAGTCTTCAAAAGAATTACTTACATAAAACACTTAGTGTTATAGTTGTGGCCACAGTCTGACCTAATGCATTATTGGTAGCTTGACAAGTATAAATAACATTGTGATCTTGATTGGTTAGCTGTACTGTAACTGTTGAATGAGTAATAAATCCACCTTCTGGTGAATCATCAACTTTACTTGAGGCTACAGGTAGTGATTGACCTTTAGCAAACCATGTGATGACAGCTGCTGGATTACTATTGGATGATACACAGGTCAAGGTCACTGTTTCTCCAGCCTTGGCTAGTTTATCACCAGTGATGGTAACTTCTTTAGGTGGAACTGAAATATTGGAAAATATTTTTCATTAGCTGGCAGCTTGTTCATAGACTTTCTGAAAAGTTCATGCCATTATGGTTTCCCTAGACGACAACATTTTTTTTGGTTGGTCTACGAAAAGACCCGTGTTTGTTTAAATGCTGTTTCATCACAGTTTTGTCCAAAATTTTTCCAACTGCTAGCCAAAACAATATTGATTTGGGTATTACAGCTTTCCTAGTCTGGCTGATGTTATACCAATATGATACATACCAGTAGTTTAGGGAAGTTCATTTGCTAAATCAGGATGGATCTTTGTTACCAGTTAAAGCATAATTAGTTTTATACTTACAATGGAC